AATAGATGCCTGAATGATCCTGCTCTTAAGGCTCACACATAGAGAACGATTGCTTGCTTGAGATTGATGGGGTGATCAGGATGCCACCCCACGTGAAGGGAGCTATATAACTGCAAGTTGTTTTTGTGGTTGATCAACACCCAGAGACTCACGCTCCAGGAAGGTCTCATTGGAGATAACTCAATTGGAGTCGGAGTCCTGCAGCTCAGTGGTTAGAGCACTCACTTTGCAAGTGAGAGACCTGAGTTCAATTCCAGGCAGGGCAAAACCTTGGGCAAGTTTCCTTACTCCACACGCCTAATAATAATCCCTCCAAAACCCAAAACAATAATAAATTGGTCATTTTCAAATCTACGACTGTTTGTGGGACATTGCTGTGTGCAATTGGCTGCCGCGTTCGCCCACAAATATACAGTCAATTCACTTTACAGTGTGTTCTGTGAAGCGCTTTGGGATGTCCTCCCGACGTGAAAAGCGCTATATCAAATGCAAGGATATATATATATATATATAAATTGTTTGGTGATTGGACCCAAGGAGAGGAAGGGACGGCAGAAAATCGGTGGAGAAATCTTGTCAAAAAAGGCATGTGTGAAACGAGCTGTGTTTAACGCAGTACATTCCTGTTACAGCAGGCTGCTTACACAGCTCCCAAAGACTGGCTGGCACAGAACTTCCACAAAGAACAAGGGGGGGAAGGTGGGGTGGGGACTTGAAAGCAACAACTTTGGGTGACTCGCAGTTTTGAAAGAGCTTGAAGAGACCCCAGAACTGGATCCATTCAAACCAATACTCAAGTGGCCTGCATGTTATCATGCCTAAGTGTGGTGCTGCACTGACTTGCACCACAGTCTAGGCCTTGTGATATGTTACCGGTTACTGCTTGGTGTGCTACTGGAGGCTCTCTGGAGCAGCTGACATTCACTGGTCACGGAGCCAATCTTATATTAACAAAGTAGTAAATCACATAGTCCTTATTTTTATTACTTTCTACTTAAAAAAGTTATTTGATGTTCTGGCATACGCAACGGCCCTGACGGACAATACTGTAGTCACACATTGCTCTTGGTCGCAGTGTAGAATACGCTGATTTGGTTACAATTTAAATGCCTGCTCAACATAAGAGGTGGTTCATTCTCTGTCATGTCTTCTGCTAAGGAGCGTTCAAATAGCAGCCAAAAAAAGCCTTCCTGTACATCTTTAGCAGATAAAATAATCCTTTGGTTAAGAGGCCATTGCCATGTTAAACGGAAGTCATTGGAAAAAGTATTTCGGAAGCTGTGCACCAGATTATCAATCCCACCCCCCATTCCCCCTGCCTGTTTGACCCCCTCAGACAGCAATAAAGCACCTTCGTTAGGAGTGGTTGTATGGTATGTTAATGCTCACAATGTACCAACTGATTTGGGTTGAAAGGAAGAAAAATAAAAGGTCTTTAACAGTCCGATGCATGAATTCTGACAAACTACCACAGCCACTGCACCCACCTCAAATTCTTTTACAGCAAAAAGCCAGGTAAACATTGTATGTGTCATCTTAATTGACCATTACAGAGTGTCACAGATGAGCATACACATGAAAACAGCTGAGGAATCTACATGTAGATACAAGTATTTATGTAGTCACGCGAGCATACAGGCAAACTCTGACATTATTGGAGAAAGCTAATGTATCTTTTCATGCATTTCTTCAACATGACGTAGTAGCCTAGATGTCATGCAGTGGATTATGTTTATTTTATAATTTAAGTTTTAAAATGACTGCCTGGCATATCAGGTCTAGCTGAATGTATTACAATTCGGGAGACTTTAGATTTAATTAGGAGGAACTTTGCAGAGTTGGGAACAAAATGTAGTTTGCTATCTACGCAATAAGATATGTGAACTGCTCACTATGAGATCACAAGAAGGTTGGATGAAGAAAGCTATCCCATTTAATCTCATCCTTTCAAAATGGCTACTATCTTTTTGTTACAGAACCAAGTGGTTTTTTAAATTAATCCAATGTCCTGGCCATTACTATCCTTCCTGGTGACTTATTCCAGGATGTTGATTAATATATAAGGAAATAGTTCCTGCTTTATTGCATTCTTAAATGTTGCCCTTCATTTCAACAGAAAAAGATTGTATTACTCGGAGGGGCACAAAAAATATTAAATAAATAAATTTTTTTTGCTCAGGTACCATTTAATTAAAATTGTTTATTTTAAAAAATTCAAATGTTACAGTAACTACAAACTACAAACCACAATTTGCTTACATTTTCAGAATTGTTGTAAAGATTAAATCAATGATACAAGTGATAGAAACTCCAGGCTTTTTTGATCCAGTATTTTTTTCTTTGTCAGCTGGGTGTCTGACGCATACTGAAATTCATCACCGTGCGTAAGAGTATCCAAACCAAAATGAGATTTCCATGTGTCCCACCTACACATGGAAATTCCAGAGATAGATTGTTGGAATGAAATGCGTACTCTTTCCCTGGAGGGATGCATCCTGCTTACCTAATTCCGGAAAGTATTAGGCGCAGGTTGGCAAGAGCCCAGGATTGGGGACCTCAGAGTCTGGGTCTCTACGCTGAAGTTTAACATTTCCGCTACACAGTATAATCAGGTTTGCACATGGAGGTTGGCTGCTGTATGAAAGGCTGTGGATTGCTGAGCAGTGATCAGCAGCAGCTTTCCCTTATTGGAAAACAAGGTCACACTGCTGGAAATCCAACAGCTTTTTATTTTAAGATCACGTTAACAGTCGAAATGCCAGACGGTCACAAATGTTCTGAAAAATAAATCTTACATTTAAATTAAAAAATGTGGTCACTTGCTGTGTGCAATTGGCTGCCAAGCTTCACCCATAAAATACACAGCCAACCCACTGTACAATATATTCTGTGAAGCACTTGGGAGACATCTCAATGGCATGATTAGGTGCTATATCAAATGCAAGGTTATTATTATTACATTTTCTTGTTTTAGCAAGAGTGTTTTTTTTAATGGCTGTTTAATTTACAGTTAATAATGCTCTAACAGCAATCTTTTTTTGGGGGGTGGGTGGGCGCGGGAGTGGGGCGGACAGAAGGAAGGGGTTAGCAATGCAACAAGGCAACATATTTATCTCCAGAGTTGACCCATTTTCACATGGATTTTTCCATCCCACCTGCGGAGGTAACATTCAACAGTCAGGTGTAGCGGCCGCCAAGTTTCCAAGGAGGCCTGAAGAAAAAACATCCAGACAGGCCAACACTGCAGTTTTGCAATTGCAGGTCTGGCTCGACTTGCTCCCTGTGGAGTTGAGGGGGATAAAAAGTCTGAGATTTTTTTTAAAAAAGTTAAATTGCAATTTAGAACCAGTGGGTGTGCACTGGCTTCCAGATTGTCACGTCTGCCTTGGAATCACTACGCAAACAAAGCAAAGACGCAGATTCCAAACCCCGGCAGTCTCAGGCTGGCTGAGAACTGGCAGTACAAATTGTGCACGTGGGTTGATGCTGTTGTTGTCAATTTTATAATATCCATGGTTGTTGCTGTCCTCATATCATGGTGTACCTACAACAACGACAAATTACGTTCCTCTAAGCCCCTTTCACATCGGGAGGATGTCCCAAGGCCCGACTTGGAAACAGCTGAGCAAACACTGGCTGCACTGAGATTTCCAAGGCTACAAAGAAAAAACCCTGTCCTAAACCCACCCAGGGGCAAAAATATCAATGGTGTCAGCGCCAGAAAACTGAGGTAAAGCTTGTGTCCATCTTACAGTCTCCCTCGTGCCCCCAAAAGGCGGCATTCTCATCTTGTTCTGTCGATGGCAATATTACGATATAAAGATGACCTAAGCCAGCAGTGCGACATCGCAATCCGGTGAGACCCACCCACCCTGCAATGGCTCTCAGTAAGGGGAGAAAATGGAGACTAAACCTCATGTTGATGGAGGCCGAATGTTTTCAGAAACAATATCCTACTTCGGGGGGAAGATAAGCGAGCTGAACTGTCTCTAAGGTGACAATTGAATGTCGGAATCGAGCCAGCCCTCTCTGGTGGTCTCGGTGGTCCGGTTCCAGAGCCAGGCAGGTCCACAATATTCCAGGGCTCATTGGCAGGACTTGCAAAGGCAAACCAGTCACTGGGGGCAGGGAAACCTCCCAATCAGTTTCTGTTAACTCTGCAATCCAAATCCCTAACAGGTAGGGTAGTCCTCGGACAAGCAACAGGAAAGCTCGCCAGACAGCGCTATCAATGGCAAGCCATGCAGTTCAGACTTTACCCAGGTCAATCAGGGTTTGATAACAAATGCTGGCCAGTTTCTAATCAATACAATTTAGAAGCAAATGGTCATGCTTCATACATCTGCAATAATCGTGGAAGGAATTAAGCTATGGGTGAACTGGTTACAATTTATTTGGACTTTGAGAAGGCATTTAATAAAAGTTTCATATGCAAGCCTCGAAGCTCATGGAGTTAATGGTAAATCATCGTTTTTCAGTGCCCCAGCCTCTGGGAGGGTCGATCCATCAGGCCACACAGGGAGAAATAAAATTAAAGATGCATAGGGTAGGCCACTCATAATCATCGCTTCGTAGATGGCTGACATTGGCAGGAATCAAGGAACAGCTGACGGTAGAAAGAAAACATCAGCAATGTTTGGAAGACTGGAGCGGTGGTTTCTGATGAATTTCCTGAAAGGGTCACCTCCCACATACATCAACAGAAGCCAATAAAAATGACATAAAATAATTATGGAATCTTTTGTGCACAACTTAATTCTTATTTTTGAACGTGGCAGGAGGAAACATACTTTTTTTATATAATAAATGTTGTTGTAGATCTTTATTTGGTCTGTGCTGCTGGTCTTCTATGTGAAGTAAGTTGTCGGGAGTGGAATGGAAATTGCACAGGTTTTGTACAAAGCTCACCTGGTCTTCCTTTAAGTCGATGGTTGAGGAAGCAAAGCATTTACAGCAATGACAGTAACTGCTGTAGCATTTAAATAACTGATGGACATTAATATAGTAGACATTTTAATGGTTATTCAATTAACTAATGCAAAGAAATTCCATGAACAAAAAAAATCATACATATGCACCTTCCCCCAAACAGATTTAAAATTCAAGGAACCTAGGGAAAATAAACAAAATGAAAGTTTTAAGGCAAGTAAACTGCATAGTGGTACTAAAATCAATCATTTTATGGCTTTGTGCTCAGAAGCACATCTTTGTTCTTCAACTGTATTGCTTTGAAGAGTATTTTATTTTACTGCATTGTACACTTCGTCGTTTTATTGCAAAAATTCCCTTTTGTCCATTAAATCAAATATATGCCAGACATTTGTTTTATATTGAACAGTAGAAAGTGTTTGTTCATTCAATCTGACCAGTTACAGTCTCAAGGTATAGCTGTCAAGGTTAGCAACCAAGAAGAGTTTAGTCAGTTTCAGCACAACCATGGTTAAAAAAAAATCAGTCCTTGTGTTTAGAATTATAATCCTCAGAGATAAACAATGTACATCCAGGTGAAAATTCAAGTATATTGTTTCACTTTTGGCACACGTTGCTGCTGTTGATCCAAACCGTACTGTATACAAATGTGCTTAGTATAACAGACAGATGAAAAGTTGAAACAAGCCCATTACTATAATGGAGAAGTGTTTTAGTTTGTATTATTCTTACATATCCGAATCTGCATACATTCCATTTATTAAATAGTCCACTTGAACATAGTCTTTCCTCTTGTAACTGCCATATGCCTTTTGGATAAACAATAGAACACTTGCCAAGAAAAAGACCAGTCCCAATATCAGCATCGTTATAAGAAAACTGTTATTGGCTAAATGTTTAGCAATGGCTACCGTGGGCGCAAGCGGGAAAATGTATTCAATCTTATTGCTGGAAGCAGCTGTGGTTTTAAGTTTAGTCTCCGGTAGCTCTGTGGCTACCTTGGATGTGGATGGGATTCTCAAAGTTGAACTGCTCGCCTTAGTTTTATCCCCTTGTTTTGTTGTTGCTGTTGTTTCCTCGATTGGCTTTGTGGTAGACAAAGGTGTTGTCTTCAGAATTGTGGTTGTTGGTGGTGGTGGTGTTGTTGTCACTGATGTTTGGCTCACCGAGGTGGAGAATGAAGATGGGAGTGCCGTTTTCAAAGACGAACCTTCCAGTGTAATGCTTGGGATAGCTTGAGAGGAAACAGACAAAGCTGTGGATTCAGTTTGGTTTGTGGTTATTTCTCCAGCTGATGTGGGTTGTGTCACAGGTAACAGTGACACACTTTCGGCACTGGTTTTGGTCACTCCTTTGGTCGTCCCAGTTGCGGCGATCTGTGTTGTGTATCCACCTGAAATACTGCTGGGCAATGAAGTACCTGGGCTAAGGATGGTTGTAGCATTTGTGGCGTTAGGTGGGGTTGTGTTTGTATGTTGCCTGCTTCTGGCATTGCAGATGTACTACTGTTTGGCACGACTGACATGGTTGCACTCGTGGTTGTTTCTACTTCTGGTATGGATGCATTGGTGGCTGTCGCTGTCATGGTTGTGCTGGTGACTGGGGCAGGTGTTGCAGTTGTCCCAGCGGCTGCCATTGATGTTGGAGTTGTTCCAGTGGTTACTGGTGTTGTTCTGACAATGAATGAACCGTTTATTGTGATTGCTTGAGTTGGAGACTGAACTGTAGATGGTTCATTAGCTCCCATTCCTTTTCGCACACGTTTTAAAAAATCCTTGATGGATGATGTTTTCCCTAGAAAACAAATAATATAATAACCTACAGTGGGAAATGAACAAGTACTTCTATTCAACACTAAAGCCTGTGTTTAACCAAGGATTTATGTGTATGTGAGCCAAGCGGGCCACACCATCTCTTTCCATCTCTACTCTGTTGCTGCTTAAAGGTTCGATATTGCACCTCCTTCAACTACAGGGAGCCAAAGGAACAAAAGATACAAAACTGTGGCAGTGAAAAGATCCGTGCTGGCTCTCATGAAATTTCCAACCAAATTGGGGAAAGAGCAGGCACTGGGCGGTAAACAAAACTAAGTGCAGTTTTTTTTTCCTGAAGGTACTTATTAATAATAATAATCCTTGCATTTGATAAAGCGCTTTTCACATCTTCTTGATGAATCACAGCGCTTCACTGAATATACTATAAAGTGAATTGAATGTATATTTGTGGGCCAAACGCAGCAGCGAATTGCGCACAGCAGTGTCCCACAAACAGTCGTGGATTGAGTGACCAAACTCTTATTGTTTTTTTTGAGGGATTATTATCTCCAGAAAAGCAAAAGAAAATCAACTAGCAACTGGGTTGCTACTTACTGCTAGGTAAACAGAGGCGTGTGGAGTAAGAAATCTTGCCCAACATTTCCCTTATTAAACACAGGGAGCAGAAATCCTCAGTTTCATCCTCAGCTGGAGCTCTCAAAGAGCCGGCACAGGAATGATGGGCCGAATAGCCTCCATCTATGCTGTAAGATTCTGTGATTCTATGAAGGTAGAAAGCTCCAACAAGCCTGATACAGAGACTGGATTAAGCCAAGCCCACTAATATGGAACCACGATACTGAACATAACTGATTCATAGTTTTGTTCAGGACCTGCAATGGCTCCTGCAACATTTAGGAACAAGACTTCTCTCTTGATTCAATTTCATGCAGACATCAAAGTTAAGTTTTCCATCACGGCACAGGATGCAACGTGGAATAGATTTGTGACTGTAATTCCCACAATCAAAGACCCAACGTTTGGTTAGGGGAGGATGGAAGAGGACATTGGGGTGATGATGAGTTGAGGCTACACATCTGTCCTCAAAGGAGTGCAATTGAACAGATGTTCACGTAGCTGCTTGTAACTTGCTGATTGTCAGAAGCGAAGTCAACCCTCTAGCCATAAAGATATAATAAATAGAGTAGAATTTTTTTTCAAAAGTCATTGGGAGTAAGTTAAACAGATGTAAACAACTGTGTGCTATCTGATCAGGAGGAGTGACTGGGAAACTCACTTTCTAAAACCCAGTGATGGTGGGGGGTTTAGAAATTGTCAATGAATAGTTAACATCTACACGCATATTGGACACAGTCACCCTTTGGAAGGTAGATTCTGGTAATACCTGCTTGCAAAGCTCGAACATCTTCCACAGGGGCTAGTTTACAGACAGTCAGGTCAAGGCAGTGTAAATAAAAACAAAGCTTCTCTTTCTCTTCCATCACTACCCAGTTACACTTCAATCCACCTGCAAAAGAAAATGAAAATGAAATATTACAGTTCACGCAGGTTTATCAAGATTTGTTTTTAAAAAAAATCACCTAGTAAATTAATATCAACCAATTGCAAGATCGGTTTGTGTCAGTTGCAAGGAGATGCGGTTGAGATCCATCATGCACATTGGGAAGTGGTATTGCATACAGCTCTCTGAATCATTAACAGGACACTGGAGGATATTAACTTTCATTTTATCTGTGGGCTAGAGTTAAATTGTAATCCCAGGATTCAGTGTTTTTTAAAACTCACAAATGACCCTGTCAACCCAGCTCAGATTTTCTAGCATTTAATAAAAAAACACTCCTACCCCTTTCTACTCCTAACAATATTTCTTTTAACTAAATGATCAAACACCGTAATTAGTTACTTATGTCCTTAAATCATCACCCTAATTAATATGTTCAGACATTGAGACTTGCCTGGGAAATCTACAGATTAGAATTGAGATGATTCGATACAGTTTAATAAGAACAGAGCAGATTTAAAATTGCACACAATTACTTTATTGAAATCTGTACTGTACTCAGCAACAAAACTTACTGCTGTAAAAATGACTTCTGCAAAAGGGTTTGCGATACATGTTAAACTGAAATTTGGCTGTACTGAATACAACTGCTTTTCATTTGCCTTGCTCATAGATCAGTCACGATTCCACCGCACTTGGCCATCACAGAGAGACTGTGGCCAAAGTTAACTTTGATTTGACGGAACACAGGCTTGTTCTGGATCCTTCAATGTGGGTGAATCTGCTCATAAAAAAAGGTAAATCGGGTGAAAATATATTTAAAGATTTATCAATTTTGGTCAACAAATCTTTCAATATATTTGGGGGGATATTGTTGTGTGCAAATTGGCTGCCGCATTTGCTTACAAAATAATAATAATCCTTGCATTTGATACAGCGCCTTATCACGTCTTTGAGACGTCTCAAAGCGCTTCACAGAAATATAATGTAAAGTGAATTGACTGTATATTTTGTGGGCGAAATGTGGTAGCCAATTGCACACAGCAGTGTCCCACAAACACTTGTGGGTTGCAGTGACCAATTTTTGTTTGTTTTACGCAGTCACGAAACTTTACGATATATGCTGCCAAAGGCTTGGAGATGTCCTCCTGATGTAAAAGACAAAATGCAAGACTATATCAAATGCAAAGATTATTGTGATATTACACAGCATAATTGTTCTCAGTGGTAACCAGTCTAGTAATAAAAGCAATGCAGTGCCTTTTCGCAATCTGATCTCACTGCAACTTAAGCACAACTTCGACAAAGTACAAAAATGTCGGCAAGGAATATGTAAACCCATCAGAATTTGGCCTAAAGATTGGCTCTTTACAGTAAATTTAGAGCACATTGCAGTGGAATAATAATTATGTGCCAATACATTTGCCAACAGTTAAATTGATGGCAGATCAGAAGATTGATAATAGCACTGCAAGGCCAAGTGTTCTTTGTTCAATTATTAGCATGAGTACCAAGAACAGTCACCACTTCAAACTACAAGAATCTTCAAGTATTGCACATCTGTCTGGAATAGTGGACTTCAATGCAATTGTTTCAACCAGCATCTACAAGTGGTACAGTAAATAAATAATGCCCGATGGTGCAGAATTTAAATGTACAAGCAGTTTGAGATTTCATCTCTAAATCTCCATGGAAATAATTCTATTAAATCTGACCTGTCGGATACAGGCAGAGATTCCCATACACATTTGACACTTATAAATGAGATGTGCATTACATGACCTATCAAAAATATTTGCATTATTATCACATTAAAACATCTCAAAGTACTTCAGAGTTTTCTGTAAAGTGCAGTAACTGAATTGTGGGCCGGGACATCAGGAAAAACTCCCTTCTCCTTTTGAATAGAGTTATGGGATTGTTTGTGCCCACCTGAAGAGGCAAACAGGACCACAATTTGTCTGAAGGTAGGCACCTCTGTCAATGCAGCATCCTCCCAGCTCTGCTATTGGGAATCCCAGCCTTGGGACATTCCCCCAACGTGAAAGGTGCTATACATATGTAATTTGTTGTGATATTGTCAGAGCTTGTAGCTGAGCAACTGAGCAATTTAAAGGTAAATGTTCAAAAAGGAGTGAACATAAAAACATGTCCCACAGTGACATTGAAAGTGAGATACAGAGGAGAGGTTCCAGAGCTCCTTTGTGAACAAGCATCAGGAAGTGCTCACAGAACTCGTACACGGTCAAAGGTAAGTTAGTTAAATGACAACTTCCTAAACAGTGTTTCACTGAAATGGATGCGAATGGCTGTTTAGATTTAAACAGACCCTATGTCTTGCAAGTGAAGCTATCGTCTACTTCGACAAGTTTCTACTTGGTGTGAACTGTCCCTGATCATCCCTGAGATGAGCTGCAAGAGCAAAGGGAAAGCAGTGACAGAGGATAGGTGTACATTGGGACTATTGGGGAATATAGGGTAGTTTGTTTGCTTTTAGATTATTAAGACGGTATTTACGTTTGCTTTAAGGGTTGGCTGTGTGTGTGTGTGGGGGGGGGGGGGGGAAGGCAGAAAGAAGGTAAAGAGAGAAAAAGAGGGGACAGAGAGAGATTATGTGTTTGGCAACTTCCTAGCAAGTCTGGTCAAGTTGTCATTGTGTACATATATAAAAATAACTATGTTTAAAGCTCATTTTTATTCCTTCTGAATGGCAGAAAAGCTTTTTGTTCCCTGGCTCCCCAAATCAGAAATCACCAACTTAAACCCACCTGACAGATTGTTACGATGTTTTCTTTGGTAAATGTTAAGTATCCATGTACTAAATGCTAACTCAGTAATACATTGCAGATTGGGATTTTTTTTTCTTTTTACCTTGATCCAAAACATGGTCACAAGTTTGGTTACATTCCTCTGCGCTGGACACACGAACAGATTTCAGTAGTTTGACTCCATTACTTTGTAAATTGTTGGTGTAGCTCTCAGACAAAGAGGAGATTAATATTGAGAGGAAGAGAACGGATGACGTCCACATTGTTTTTGAAAATCCAAACAAAGCCCTTGCACAGCTGAGTTACACAGTTCTCACACCGGTTGCTCCTTGCTGAATCTGAAGTAGAAACAAAAAGAGTTTTAGACCTACAGCTTCTGAAGTAACAAGTTACACTCTATTACTCTGAACCCTGACCACTTTTGCAGCAGAAGCCTGGACGAACAGACTGTGATCCTGGGCTCAAGTCCCAACATCAACTAACATTTGAACACAGCTATCCACAAAGGGAAAGATCTTCAGTTCTCCTTCAGGCGACTTAAAGATTAAGCATCTCACAGTGACATTGACTGTGTCTCAGATGGAGAAGGAAGGAACTTTTGCTACCCTGAACAATCACCGCCTCCTGTTAGCTGAACTGACAGCAAGGAATACATACATCTGTGTTGCAGATGGTCCCCACCCACACAGAATGTTGTAAGGCAATATAAAAGGCAAGCAGGTTGCAGTGATGGCTTAACGAGGGAATTAAAAGGAATACGAGACCGCAAAATTAATAAAAGAGAAACATATTTGAAGTGAGTGGAAGACATTAAACCCGAGCTCCCCAGTAACCCCGTCATCTTATGCTGACCCTCGTCACCGTTAAAGCTCAACAATAAAGGGAACAATTCAGCGGATGAGCAACAAAACAATGTCGCACGTAGAACCAGCTCATAGCGGAGATGTATTTCTAAAAAAGTGATCCTAGTCAGGGTCACGATCATACCAGTTCCAGACATGTCACCAAAACTGCTTTCGACACAAAATGAACTGACAACGGCAGCTTCAATTCTGTAGGAATACCTATTTTATGAGCGCTGTTTATTCGACAGATTAATTCAATTTCTGGCCTCATCACAATTTCTGATCCTGGGGCCTGGCTTGTCATCAGATCATTTTGATAGTATTTGCATTTTTAATTCAACAAAAAGTCTTGGAAATACAGCAACAGTAAGAATGCAATGATGACAGTGGTGTTCAGCTCGTGGAGCAGATATGGAGTAGTCCCGCAAGCTATCGAGAGCGACTCAAGAGTGCCCTCTGCTGGGAAAACATCAAATTCCCTCTGCCGAAGCCTCTTGTTCGACCTCACAGGAGAGTGACATTCAGTCAAATTCAATTATCTCACAAAAAGCAAAATGTTTTAGCCTTCCTGACGACAGCCATTTGTCCTGACACTGAGGCAATTCTCACAAATTGATGGATTAATGGGTCTTCTGAATCAAATGTCTCTACTGTGACATTTTGAAGGGCCGTAGATATAACGTAAAAAGCAGTGGGTGGTGGATGTTGCTGTAACCCAACAGATTAGATTTTTACATCTCTTTAGCTGTATTTATCACTACGGTGGAGCCGGAGAGCAGCAGCCGATCAACAGAAATTCATGGTGACTGAGACGGCACACAACGTGCCAGGGGAAGCCATCACACCATGAGCAGACCAAGACGAGCTTCAGATTAATGGTCTGTTCGCTGATAACACACAGTGACAGTCCCCAATACAACTGCAGAGTTAGCCAAATTGAAGCATACCTGTCCTGAGTCAATCAGTGAAGCCTCTCTTCGAGGTGAAGCCCAGGTTAACCTGAAAGGACCTGTTAGAACAGTCGTGTTAGGTGGCTCAGGGACACTACCATACGTGAAGGGCACTATATGAATGTAAGTTGTTATTGTTGTTTACTGCCATGTCTTGATCAGTGTTACATGGAATGATTCAAAATGGAAACAAGTCATTGAGCCCAGCTTGTCCGTGCTAGTGTTAATACCCCACATGAGCCTCCGACCCTCTTGTTTCCCTCTCCTAAACCCATCGATTCCCTTCTCCTTCATGTTGCTATTGAACACATAAGGAAATTCCACCTTGCCTGCAAGTCCATTTTATCTTACAAGTTAAATCGCACAAAACTCTTAAATTCAGTTTTAATATAGAAGTCCGTTTTTTTTAAGAATGACGGAAAACCGTCTCTCAAGTGAAGACTGAACTTAGCAGTTTTACACAATTCTGCACGATCTCAGTTTTAAAACAAAATGGTCTCGCTGATCTAAATAGGTGAAATTTTGTGCCGTTAAAGGGCAATTACTTTTAAAATACATTTTTAAACAATGTATTTGGGGGACGTCCCATATTAGCTGTGAACATTTCTGGGCTCATGTACATTATTACTTCAGTTCCAAAAAAACAGATCAGAGTCCAGACATTAGCTCATTTTCCTGGAAGGAAATTGAGCTGGTTTAAAACTTTTTGTTTTTGGTTTGGAGACAGGAAATGAAAAATCAATTTTTGGTCACTTAAAAGTTTGAATTTCAAGCTTTTGCGCTCATACCATTTTACATAGGAACAGAAGGAGGCCTTCAGCCTTTTGAGCCTGTTCCACCATTGTATTAGATCATCGCTGATCTGTACCTAAACTTCAACTTCCCCAAAGTATCATACACAAAACCTTCACAACAGGAACGAGCTGTGTCCAGACAGACGCCCACCAGTGAAGAACAAGAATTAACAAATTTCAAACAAGAAAGAAAGTGAGAAGTGATTCACAAGTGCAAGATTAAATCCTTATAAAGACATAATCCAGTGTTGAAAACACTGATTATCTGATGATCAATGGACATCTGTATCGCTTACTCCACGTAAAGCCACAAAATCAAAGCAAATAAAAACCTAAAGGGGAAAGCTACTGACTCGGTATTTAGATTTTATCATGGTTACAATTTTGATCTCGCTTTGAGTTTGGGCCCATCTTTTTGATTGCAGTGCCATCCTCCCCAGTTTACAAAACATATCTCTGCTCCAAGGTTTTTCTTTACAAACAAAACTCAGACCGTATCTATCTCCTAACAAGGATTACCCCATCTTTCCCAGCAGACATGGCAAAACGAGACACAGAAAATGTAAATCATAATTAGCACACTTTTATCATGTATTTGCAATTCCTGCTGTCTATGCCCTGAGGAACTAGTGCATCAGCTTTGTGGCTAAATTGCTTGCGATGGGATCTAAATCCTACATTCTGTCATACATCTAGATGAAAAGAATAAAACATGAAATGCGGGTCGATTAAATTGCCCATTTATTCTGACCACTGAAACAGCATTTATTGTTAGGTGTTCAAATCAAAATTATTCTGGGGTCTAATTGAAGTATATTATCAGTCAAAGACTATCAGCCTCATTATAAGTCCGTGTTGCACATCATTTGTCCTTTGAAAGGGACATTAAACCAAGGTCCCGTCTGCTTGCTCAGGTGGATGTTTAGGATCCCACAAAAAAAGAGAAGCGAGTTCCTCCCAGTGTCCTGTCAACAATCCCCCAAATAACAGTTGATCACTCACTTCATGGGTGTTTGTGGCACATTGCTAGGCTGCCAAGTTTCACCACAAAATACACAGTCACTCCACTTTGCAGTGTATCTTGGAGTCCTGTAGCTCAGTGCTTAGAGCACTCGCTTTGCAAGTGAGAGACCTGAGTTCAATTCCAGGCAGAGGGCGAAACCTTGGGCAAGTTTCCTTACTCCACACAGAGCCTAATAATAATCCCTCCAAAAAAAAACAATAATAAATTGGTCATTTTCAATCTACGACTGTTTGTGGGACATTGCTGTGCGCAATTGGCTGTCGCGTTCGCCCACAAATATACAGTCAATTCACTTTACGGTGTGTTCTGTGAAGCGCTTTGGGACGTCCTCCTGACGTGAAAAGCGCTATATCAAATGCAAGGATTATTATCTTCTGAAACACTTTGAGACTTCTCAATGACGTGACAAGGCACTATATCAAATGCAAGGATTATTATAATTATTATAACCAACTCTACATTTGAGTTTATGTGCACAGAGTTCCATGAAGTCAACATTAAAAACATGCGATACAGCTTTTTATCACGTCATTGAAACGTTTCAAAAACGATTCACAATTTACTATGAAGTACAGTAACTGTGCGGTTGAACGTCAACACAGCAATATCCCAAAAATAGCCACTAAGTAAATGATTACTTTTTTCGCCCGGGGGATTAAAGCCAGGACACTGGGAAAAACTCCATTCTCTTTTTGAGAAACGCTACAACATCTTTAACATCCGCATAATTGTCTCATCCATAGGACGGCACCATCCACAATGCAGCACTCTCCCAACACTGCAATAGAGTGTCAGCCAAGATTGCGAGTTCAAAGGGATGAGGGCTCACACCGTTCAGTGGAGAACATAGGCAGAAGAAACAACACCACCAGTACAGGGTGCAGATTGTCTTGGAATATCAATCAGAATATTAAGATGCAGCTCTTGGGTTGCTGATGTAAATGGTGAACTCATTCATTACAAGCAACCTCAGCTTTGAACATCTGAAATGGAGTCACAGAGCACTTTGATTTAGACAAATAGAGGAATTCTTAGACCAGCCTTCGCTGTATCAATTTAATATTTAAAAAAATCAGACAATTGCTCACCGAGAAGAGATCCATAAATATCATTAATCCCAGTGTCACTCGAGAGGTCATTAGGAAGCAGATTAGTGATGCAGGCTCTGGATAACCTGCCTGGCAATGCAATGAGACTCAACAGCTTAGAACTAGGTCTTATCATGAAACTTCACTTATCATTTGTTGAGCCTCCAACTCAATTTATTTTATCTTAAAATAAAACTTCTTATTTGAGAAGATCTGTTTTACAGGTTTGTCCTGAGAAAAAAGGAGGAAGCTCTGATTCACTCTGTTGATCAGTTCCCGAATGGCCTCCTCCACACGCAACAGGATCAAGCACAAAAGATGGATTTATAATTTACTGAAAATACAATAAAAGCGACGTGCGTGTAATAAACTCTAATCTCTCTCCATGCCTTTGTGTGCTGGCAGCCGTCCCAATTGTTTTGCAATTATAGCTATATAACAGGTATAAACCCAGTATCCTAATTCCATATGGCATGCTGGCATTCTTTGCATATTATACACTGGTTCAAAGGGGTGTCCTGGACTTTCTTGGAGTCCTGAGTCACTTAACGTACACCACATTCTGAATTTTCTCCAGTAATAGTGCGTTTTGAATTCTATACTTTCAGAGAAGTGAAATCAACATCGAATGACTTAA